GCCTTTGTCATTAGAGAGGCTTTATACATTTTTCCAAAGAGATTGAAAATTTTTAATGCAAAATGTATTCGTAAAAACAATAATATGCAGCTCCTTTATATCATGCAACTGCCAGCTTGGCAGCTGGAAAACATATGTTATCTTCTTAAGTTATCTATATCAAAACCATTTTGTGATCAGTAGCTTCAGACAACAATGAATGTTATATACACAAGCTTCCTCTATCAAGCTAAGTTCCCTCAAAAAGTGAGTGTTATTTACATCTACAGTTGATCTAAACCATTTTTTGTGATTGTGTTAAGTAAATTTTGATTAACAAAAGAACTACAAAACATGTCTTTACCTCAGACAAAAAAATATTCTAACTGCAATATTTCACTTCCTTGACCTATAACTTCTACATTTTCGCCCCCATAAATTCTACAGAATGTTGTAAAAAGCCGCAATATAATTGCTTTAGCAAAGATTAAAGTTCTTTCATGAAATAATTAATTTGAAATTTGTGATCAAGAAAAGAGGGCAATCAAATGATTAGTACAATATTTCACCTTATTCTTGGCTGTATGAAAATTACATTGCCTTAAAAGACAATAGCATATAGGCATACATTTAAAAGTGCAACATGCTGAAACAAATACAGTGCTCTAACAGAACTGATAGTATCAAGTGCCAATGAGTTTTTTAGAAAGCTAAAGACCAAACATGCCCACCCTACCCACCTAATTATATAAAATGACTTATGTTCATAATAGTGGAACTGAAGTTTTTATCTGAAGGTGCAATTAAACTGGTAAGCTTATTAAAAAATAAACTAGTTTTAATTTATATATCATTTTGCCTTTGAAACAAGAAAATACTTCTTTAGGAGCTAACAAAGTGAGAGATCTGCAAACACCATTGCTTTTCATGGATAACATGGCACTCTTGTACAAATTTACCACAGTGCATTACATAAAATAAATGATGGGTCATCGTCCTTTATTGAAACAAATTGCTGTACTAACCATACCATCATCTGTCACAATTTAAAATTAAACAGTCCTTTGGTACTATCTTAGGTAATGACAAGTTTAAATTTCTGTTGATTTTCATTAATCAATTGTTAATCTGACAGAAAAAGCAACGCACAAGGTAGTTCTAGCTGAATGTATAAATTCACTTAATGCTGTTGCAAATTCAACTTGCTATCAGTGAACGGTTTTAATTTACCAGAGCAGCAAGTGACAGAAACAGAAATACAGTAATGTCCATTGATGGCTTTTACCAAGCCTATCAGCTATTGTACTAAATAGATTACTATCATTACAAATGACAGGTCATAATACTTCCCACAGAGCTATTTTTCTACAGTATTATCATTCAATTCTGCAAATATTAACACAAAACTGCACCCTGAGAGGAGTGTTTGTCTTTATTAAAGATAGTTTTTGAACCATAAATCATTGAGGAAACTCAGCCGAGCAATGTATCTGGATAGAAAATATTAGTGTATCAATGGCTTGAGAAACTTATTTATATTGAACTCTGTTTCTATTCTAATTTTAAGTTCCTCGTTTTGTAATCAATTCTTAAACTAAGATCTTTTCAACAAACAGCATTCTTAGAAAATCAAAAGAAACATGCTTAGTGTAATAAATCATGCAGGAATTATAAATCAGTGCAATAAAATTGATTATCTTTAATTCTGCAAGGTTACATATACTCAAAAACAATTCTTAGGGCGTTGGCACTAAGCAAATCAAATTCCAATCTAAACTTCACTATACTATTGCTTTTCTTTCTAGCATCTTTATATTGTTTCATCATAAGAATTATCGCAATGTTCATTCCAAAGTATTTAACAGTTCAAACCATGGAAAAATAATTTAATGACCCATTACTTCTACACTGAATTACCAAATGCAGGGAAAAAAGCTCAATTAAATAATAAAATGAAAAGTTGACTAATAATGATATTCATGGTAGTGGGGGAGTAAAAGCTCTCATTCATACCTCCAGCCCTGAACTCCAATCAGTTCCTCTGTTGACTTCCAGATTGAAGATGGTAAAATCTGATTAAACCACAATCCCAATCTGGACGTGTGAAAACTAATCTAAAACTCCCTAGCAACCAATTACAACGCCTCCTTAAAAACTTGTGAATGTGGACGGTACATGAGAAAAGTCACTTTTTTTTCCAGCAGTACTGTCGAAATGACACAAGTCTGGATTCCACAACTCAACGATTCTGGTGGAGCATGTTTTTACTCATGTCAGTCGAGCATGGAAGTTTGTGGGTAAATATTTAACTACTATTACGAAATCTTTCTTTTTAGCACAAGAATGCAGCAAAAAAAATGGATTGTTTCTGAGGACCTCTCTCCCATTTCGCAGTAAATCTTTAAAGACCTAAAATCGTTACATGGTTGCATTGGTGGCTTGTGAGAGCCAGTTTACAGCTATTCACAGATCACAATAATAATGCAAAAAAATTCCACACTGGGATGCAGTGTAGTCCTTTTGATTGTGAGGCTGTCTTTTTTTCCCCTGCAGAAATAAATCCATTCATCCGGCCATGTAGTCATTGAGGACGATACAAAACAAGCCAAGTGTGAGAAATTCTACGTGATGGAGTAAACAAAAAACATTTCCATGACAAAAAGATACTTTGCACTTAATCTACCTTACCATATGCAAACGTTTCTTTTAACCATTTTTTAAACAAAATATATTTTAAAATTGTCCTGTTGAAACCTGGCCTGGCAGAAAGCTTGACAAGATGAGAGCGGGCCGCCAAATTAAAAAAAATGTTAAAAGCAGCTCTACATGTATAATAATACATGTATTGAAAATGTGTAAAGTCACGTGAAGTTTTAACATGAAGACAAATGTTTATTGTGAGACATTGTAGCTGAATGGCCCTTCAGCGAAGGTTTCTCAACCACAAAATGTTTTATAGAGAGGAAGGTTCAAATGGACACGCACAAGTGGCTGAGAAACAAACCACTTTGCCACGACATTACATTTTTTTCACCTCACTTTCTGTCAGAATTATTTCCCTGCCTATGACAGGAAGTCTGCAGATACAGAATTTATAATCTTGATTTTTAAAAATAAATATTTACCAAACAGTGGCTAGTATGTGGAGAGGATGAACCCTTGACCACAATGCGGCTTTCTCCTCTCTTCACCTTCCCTCACACTGGACATGCAAACCCGCTTCGTCAAATTGATTCTCTATCTTTTAAGGAGGATGATTTCTCCCTCGCACGTTTTAAAACATGATAGAATATCGCAGGCAAAGAGGAAACGGTGCAGCTAGGAAATCGAATAAACAGGCCAGTCATGAAATCTGCACAGTTCTTTTCAACTTGTAAATCCTCTAGTAAAACAAAATGAACATTGTACTCCTCTGATATTTTAAATTTTTAAAAAAACTTGGGAATATTCGATTTATTTTTCGGTTTGACACCATGACAAGCTATATAATGTGACGCTGATTGGATTTAAGGTTATTCTTTCTCTCTTCTATGACAAGATTTTAAAAAAAAAAATCAATTTAGTTCGCGTCAGCTGGCCAGATTTAAAATTCGATGCTTTTCGTGAAAGAAATGTTGGGCTAGGAGTGCAGGAATGAAGTGAGAATTAAAGATGGCTGGCAGGTCAAGCTGGGAGCTGGCCGTCCTGCTTGTTTTATTGTAAATTCAACAACACACACACACACCAATCCCACACTGACCCTTCACCCAGCTCCTTCTCCTGCACCACTGGCCCTGCCTTAACCCTAAACTAAACCCCACAAATTAAACAAATGCAGTAGTATATCTTGTTTAACAACAGGAGAACTAAACTCCCCCACCACAGACACACACACACCAACCTCCTCTATAAACTTCAGCTAAAGTCAAGCAAGCTAGGATGTCCTTTGCTGATCACACACTTGTATTTTAACACGCGCACTCGCCTCTCTCGTCTATCAAAAACCTCAAAGTTACAAGATCCGCTATTATGCGAATTAATTATACAGAGTTTTTCTTTAAAAATAGGATTTACCAACCAGTACTGTGTGCGCTCACATCTGTTACTTAAAATACTCGCATAGAGGGTTTCTTAGAAACACGCAGCTGGGAAGGAGAGTAATAGTGCTGGAGTTGGGGGTGGGGGCTCTTGTTGGTAGTCGAGGGTTGTTATGTGTTTGGATGTGAATGTGTGTGTGTAGGTGTTCGGTTTCCGGGGTCCGAACCCCCGAGTCCACATCCCTCAGCAGCCCCGGTTACAGCTCTCATTGTAGGCACAGAGAGAGAGACAGAGCGATAGATAAAGGCAGAGTTATAACCCACCCCTTTTGCACATAGACCTCACGCACCTCTCTAAAAAAACAAGCATCTCAACTTTTAAGCAAATAAAAGGAGAGAAAATGATGCATCAGACGTAGAATATAAAGCACTGATCCAGCCGCATCACTTTCCAAAACTAGCCCAACACTCGCGAAACTACTGTCAGACGGCGCCGCTCACTCAGAAGCAGTCAGAAAACGTGTGACAAATGCTGCATTTTTCCCAGCGTAATAGCAAATATTGCATTTTCGGTGTGAAGTCCACATTAAAGAGGGGAGGGACGGGGAATGGAAGGGGGGCTTATGTGTGAAAACATTGCATAGAGTTTGCAAGTTACCACTAAAATCGGTTGCCAGCTCTTTTACAAACAAAACGAAAAAGATGTAGAGATAGTTTTAGGGGTAAAAAAAACCTTTTGCCTGAACATCATCACTACACACATCCACATCCTCTTAAGTGAAGTTGGTGGTGGTGGTGTGGTGGTGGTGGTGGTGGGGTGGGGGGGGGGGGGGAAGGGTAAGGGAGGTTGGCGGGAGGGGGGGGGGGGGGGGGGGGGGGGGGGGGGAGGAAGAATGGGGGTAGATTAAAAAAAAGAAAAAAATCACAACAGCGACAAATAATGAGAAAATTGTGTTCGTGGGGACGGGAGAAAGAGGAATTTAAAAGAAAATAAGACACACTTACAATTTTGCGAAACTATTGCCACTGCTTCCTCGTCCGACTTGAGATGCTGGGGCTTCGCTTGCTTGCGGCGCGACATGGTGGTGGTGGCAGATACATCAGCAACAAATAAAAAAATAATGTTTTTTTTCGCAAATACCCGAGTTGCAAAATTACGGAAATTAGCCGGGCAGGAGCGGCGCAAGTGCGCATGTCAGTATATAATTATGATTATCAATAATGCATTGCGATTAATCATCGCCACATCTGACAGACGATTGGCTCCTGGCCAGAGGGGGGAGACACTTTGGGATTTATTCAAATCAGAAACACGAAGCACAGACACACACACTGAGAGGGAGAGAGGGAACTCAGTCGCTGATCAATTACCGCCCAGCCCCTTGCATGGCAGCCGCCTGTCCTGTTTCCACACTGCTCCTCATGTGTGTGGGGTTGTGTGTCCCTGTTGAACGTCAGGGAATCCTCCTACACACCACCCACCCCCCACCAAATGTTGACATACTTTTCTCAGTCTCGCCCCTCTTTCTTTTTTTTCCCCTCACACCAACACCAGCAAAGCTCTCTCCCACCTTGTTCCCCCCCCTCCCCACCCCGTCTTCTCTTCTTGTGGAATCTCTCCTGCTTTTCCTCATATCATCTCTAAGCAATGTTTGTGTGTGTGTGTCTATATTTCTCTCTCCTTTTTGATATCGATGGTTGTTCTTCCAACCTCGTCCCTCCCACCTCCAAATAAATACACACACAGAACCACAACAAAGTTTGTTTTCCTCTCTCTGTCTTCTCCACCTCTCTCTCTGTCTCTGCTGTGTTGGGTGTACGTGTGTTCTCAAATTAAAAAAAAGGGGAAGAGACCAGAGTGCTAGCGAGAGGCCACCGTTAATACGAGGAGGTGATGTGCGAGTCACGTCTTCTAGTGCCTCCGGTCTCTAGTGCGCTCGGTGCTCGAAAACCGGTTTGCTTCAAAGAGGTTATAACGGGTCGAGTCGATGTCTTCCCTGGATGCCGAGTGTAACGGAACAAAATAAAAACAAAAAAAAAGCGACTAATTCCTCCCAGCAGCAACAGCAAAACAAAACCACACTATTAGTTTCTAGATAAAATAGCCAAATAACGATTACTATTAGTCCTTGGGAGAGTTGTCCGCTGGTTTGAAGGCAGCACTCACGGTTACTTTTTTTTCTCCCCCACCCCTCCGTAGAATTTGGAGGAGATTTGACGGTAAGAAGTGCCGGTGTTATGTGTAATGAGTGTCCTTGCCTGTCTCTCTCTCTCTGTGAGTGCGTTTAGAACTGGTGGCTGAGCCAACAAGTTGGAGCCTTTCTGCACAAGGCACCAACGCAACAAACACTACGACATGCCGCCGCTAGGATGTACCAGATAGTTACTTTCACTAAACTCTTCAGAACCATCAGCATCGCTCTTCTCTCTCTCTCTCTACACACACACACCACGTACTCATTTCCCCTTTATTTTCTCAGACTTCCGTCCAGTATCCACATTTTTGAAATTTTGCACCCCCTTCTCGTCTTTTTTAAATTTTTTTTCATCATTCAGAGAGAAATGCGAAACAAAATTTCAACCTTTTTCACGTGTTGGGCGCCTTGGCTGGGTGGGTGGAGAAAGGGAGAAAGGTTGGGTGGTGTGTACATGTGGGGACGGGGTGTTCTGGTTGTTGGGTCTGCTTTTGAGTTAGTACTGCTTCATCAGGAATACTTGTTTTGATTTTTCCCCTGCTTGTATACATTACAAGCTATTACAATACTATTATAACAATAAACACTTGTTGAACTTCACATTGACACTGAACCTAACGCGCGGACCACAGTAATGTACTCGCGTACAGACAGGATTGTATCTCGTTTAACAGAGCGTTTGCTGTCACCAAAGTGTATAATATTCAAGGAGATGGGGGTTTCTAACTTTGGTCATGTTATTGCATTGAATATGTGTTTAAAGAACTCTCTCTATACCAGGTCCTGCCTTAAAGTGCTTCGTTGAACACAAATTACAGAAACCCGAAAGAAATATTGGAAATAATTTAATGGATTCATATCCAAAGAAGCACAACGCACATTTTTTGTTCATTATTGTTTTTTTTTCTTGTTCTTAATAAAAATGCAATCTGATAATAAAGAGATGTTTACAGCGCTGGGATCGGAGGACAGTTAAGTGATTCGAAAAGTGGGGTAACTTGCGAACTCAACTGTTTAACCATGTGGTGCGCGGAATTAAGGCGGAATCATTTGAATATATGTTAAATAAATTCGAGCCGTTCGTTAACCTGAAACTAGAATCAGTGCTTTTTTATTCTACTCCCCTCCCCACCCCCTCGTTTTGGTCTGTGAAGACACAGTGGAAATTTGGTTAATAATCGCTGCTGGATAATGAAACGCACCTTATTTTACAAAGATTTAATTCACTCTAAGAGACAATTATTTTTAAGACGAAGAAACGTATCGAAATGTTAAGATCGACTTAGTCGCACCTTGCCATCAAAACTTAAATAAAACGAATTCACGGCATCAAGATGTTTATTTTCTGTTGGTAAAGACTCCTTTGCTTGCGAGAACGTTTCAAGTCATTTATTAAATCTTACATTAAGCTCATCGCTGAGATATTAATGCTAATCTCAAAGTATTCCGGTGGCTATTTCATTTCCAAATTACGGAAAGGTTTAGCTCCCTTGGGGATGGAGGGCGATTCAAGTCTGAGAATTTAACAAATCCTAGCGGAGTTACTCTAACTGAAACTTGAACAAGCCATGAAAAATCTTTCTAAATCAATTTCTTAATCTGGATGCAGTGTTCTAATACAAACAACGATACAGAAATCGCGTTTAAACTTCTTTATTATTGATACCGAGCGGCGGGCATTTAAAGGCAAGTTTGAAAATGGGCTTTGTTTTGCGTCGAAAGTCACAGGCGCTTAAAGATCTTTAAAGTTTCAAAAAAAAAACCGCAATGCCTTATATCTTCGAACTACATCTCCTTTCGACTTTCTCACGCGTCAGCGAAATAAGGTTGGGGAGGTATTGGACAGCTTAAATTATCAGCCACTGTACTTTGTTTCTCTGTACCCCCCTCACAAGACGACAAACTAATACTGCTTGGGTCAGTTAATGCTTACACGAGCTAAATCATACGCTGAGTGTTTTTTAAACTGATTTATATGAAAACGAAGGATCAATTTCAAAAGCTGGGTCAGGGCAGAATCGTCTGGTCAGCAACTGTCAATGCTCTCGGCATCTTCCGAAGATTTTTGTCCGCTCTTTGCACGCTGCAGCGATATGTTCTTGCGTCGCAACTTTATTTTTTTTGTGCGCGAACAGAGGTGTCAATCAGTTTCCAAATATTCGGATGACAGGCTATGTTTAATTCGGGTGGAAGGTTGGGGGGAGGTAAGGGTTGAAAAGAAATTCAGGTTTCTACAGGTCACATTCTCAGAGGAAGCTCCCGAAAGCCACAAGCGAATAGCATGTTTTTTTTTGTGTGTGTATGTGTGTGAAATATTAGCTAAGTAAGCGACAATTAATTACACATCTGTTCGCGCGTCCCCGTTGTATGGAGCAGGTATTAACATATCCGTATTACACATTGTTATTACACCGACAGATCTCTGATAGCACAGCTTGTCATTCACACAGCCAGAAATCACGATGATCTATCTTTCCATCAAATGGAAATCTCAGTTTGTTCCAACACTAAAAAAAAACAAACAGCCTGTCAAACATCAATTGTATTCATTTTTTTGGAGGGGTAGGGTGTTTGCTTATTGGGACTCCCCAAAGCTTCTCTTTCATTCCCCTACGAAAAGAACTATTGTTTGATTGATGTTTGTGGTCCCATCTAGAAGGTTATTATTAGCCAACCTTATAGAAACCCGCTCGGGAAGAGCGAGAGAGAGAGAAAAAAATCAGCTATTGATAATTGCAAGAACCATACAGCAGCTACTGTATCGATTGCCTTGTGCCATATTCCCCTGGTATAGGAGAGATAAGAGGACACACTATTTAGTAGAATATAATTTCTTTTGACCTATCTGCTTCGTACAGACTTATGATGAATAGCTGGAGAGGCTATAGTGCTTTATCAAGAGACTTACTCCTATTCTGTTTATGCCCCCCTCCAAAAACTCCACTATCCCAACATCATCAATATCACTACAAAGGCGCCAGAATAAAGATCTGCTCCAGATTAAAGTACTGCCTTATTATCTGACTAACTCCTCTCTATTGGCCGATGATCGGTGGGGGTTGTGGTGGGGGGTGGGGGTAGGGGAGAGAGGAAAAAAACTGTCATTTCAACTTTTTGCAAAAAAAAGCTTTTCAGATTCGCCTGTGTAAAACGAAGCACTTATCAAAGTTATTGATCAGTTCCTAAAACCATTTGAGTAAAGAGGCACCAGACACACACAAGAAGCCCTCGCCGTGCTGCTACAGTCTTGTTCTTTCCCGACCGGACTATTATTATTTTTTCTCTCCCTTACTTTAATCTGAAATGCTGGCTATTATACTAAACGAGTTTTAGTTTATTTCAACTTCGGGTTGGGAAGACGACCATTTATTATGTGTTAAGCAACAGCAAAAAAATCAAACGCACAATTTCTATGTGCATATGAAATATATAAATATCGAAATTCCGCCTTGTACTCACAGCGTTGGCTTTATTTTAGAAAGAAGATGCGTTATTCAATTTATTAACAATTAATTGATGATATGAAATCAGAAACGGGGCCATGCCTTAACAATCCCCAATGAAGCAAGAATGGCTGAGGACTATTTAATTTCAATAAACACGCCTTACTGTCTATCGATAAAAAATTATTTACAACTAGTTAAGCTAGTTATGTAAATTAACTGCGAGCGCACTTTTGGTCAGAACTTGCTCTCATTTTGAAGGACAATCGCAAAACATAGTAATGTCAGATAAAGCAACTCGCCTGCTCTGCAAAGTAAAAAAAAATGAATATTGTGAAACCCCTCCCCCACCCAAAAAAATGATTTAAGTTTTCACATCGCGACAACTTCTAAAAAATTTGCACCTGGCTTAAGGTTTGCACTGAAACCTACCTACTCTTCATGTTGCAATAATGACTTTATTTGTAGGTTAAACTCAGCAGCCCATCATTTTTGTTGGTGTTAATGCTCCGGTGCAATTCTAAAATA